CTCCATGTGTGATGGCAGAATAAGCATTCTCTATCCAGTTAAGAGTTAATCAAGATGGAAAAGACCAGTAATTTCCCTGCAAAAGGACAGAAGCACACAGCCCACGTAAATTAGGAGCTGTTTGTGTGGAGGCCATAGAAGCTTGGTAATTAATTTTAGGAGTAAATAACTGTGTTCAAAGTAGAGTGTTCCATTGATGGAAAGCGGGGTGGGGTGGGGGGACACAAAAGAGGGGTTGGGGGACACAAAAGACAGGGAGTAAGACAAGGAAATAGAAAAACTGAATTTGTCTCAGGAATTTTGATAAGAGTATCTCCTCTCAAAAGAGTAGGGAAGAGAGCAGGGGCAAAGGAAGAGGAGGGAAGTCTGCCATGTAGGCTCCTCCTTGAAGGAACTCCGAGAGTCTTAGTCCATCAGTCCAGGGAGAAAGAGACTTGAAGCTAGGCATCGGCTTGGCCAGCTCTCTCAGTCATGCTGAGATGACAATGAGAAAGTCTTGGAGTCTGAATCCTCAGCCCAGTGCTCACCTGCCATCTGCCACCTTCACACTTCATCATCTGCATGGGTGGGGTTTGCTGGGGGGTCTTCACCATACACCACCCCGGAGCAGTTACTTTAGGAGAGCGGCTTGGGCTAGGGCTTCTCACTACTCCCTCACCACTCCTGGAAGGGACTTCCCTTCCAAGACAGCCAGAGGTTAAAAAGAGCTCCCAGCTCCTGCATCAGGTCTGGATCTCAATGCCAATGCTCCTGCATTTTTCTTGGGAAGCTCTGGTCTCCTCGAGATAAATGGACCATCACATCAGCCGAGCCCAAGCACGGAAGCTGAGGGAGGATCAGAAGAGACAAGGGCTGATGAACTCCAGCAAATGTGGAGGAAATGCCTGGTGTAAGTTGGAGTGTAACTGTGATTGCGAATCATATGGAAAGGGGCAGCCACGGGATTTGGGGTCTGTCCTGGCTGGTTTTGATGTCCACTTGACACAGCCTAGAGTCATAGAAGAGGGAACCTCACTTGAGAAAATGTTTCCGTAAGATTGGCCTGGAAACAAGTCTATGGGGTACTGTCTTGATTAGTAATTTATGTGGGAGGGTCCAGCATATGTGGGTGGTACTACCCCTGGGCAGGTGGTGCTGGGATGTATAAGAAGCAAGCTAAGCAAGCCAATGGAGCATAAGCCAGCAAGCAGCACTCTTCTATGATTCTGTTTCAGTTCCTGCTCCAGGTTCCTGCCTTCAGTTCCTGCTCTGACTTCCCTCAGTGATGGAGTGTAACCTGAGAGTGGAAAACGGAAATAAACCCTTTCTTCCCCAAGTTGATTTTGGTCATGGTGATGGAAACCCTAAGACAGGGTCATTCTGTGTGCAATCTGTCATGCATGGCATTAGAAGGGGACGTGGAAGCCAGATGCTTCCTTAGAAAGGGACAGTGGGTCAGTGAGTTGGATAAGTCTGCTGGGACAACATTCTCAGATGTGGTGTGCAGAGTTTCCCCAAAGTGAGTACCATTCACTGGCTTCAGGCTACATCAAACCCATAGATCAGCCACCCAGTGGATTCACAATCACTGGGTTCAAAGGCATCAAGGGCAAGAGCCACAAAATTATTTTCTGTCCATAGGTCTGACCTCTCTTACTGATAGGAACAGATTTGGATTGGCTGTGTCCCAGCCCATGTAACAAAAACTGTGTACACCTTTAAAGATTAGAATCTTCCTCTTCCTCTTCCTTCCCCTCCTCTCCTCTCCTTCCCACGAGATTTATAAGTGACCTAGCTCTGGTTACACATAAGCAGGTGTCAGAGCTCTGAGCCAATCTCAACAGATCACCCTCCTTGTCTGTGTTTGGTTCCAAAGTGTCTCTGACCCAAAAATCTGTGCGTGAACAGACTTCGTCAACGGGATCAGGCGACCACGTGGGGTACCTAACTGGCCACACTTGAGAGAGCCAGCTAGGAGTCTTCTGCCTTCAGAAGCCCCAAGTCAGAACTTCTGTCTAACTCTCAGCAGAGGACCCAAAGGGGTGTATTCAAGTGACTCCTTAGAGACCTCACCTTTCATGTGCCTTGGATCTGCAAGCACAGGTTGCCGGGGATGGATGAATCTCTTCCGTTTCTGTGATCTATACAGTGGAAAAATGGACCACATCAGCGTAGTGCGCTGGCCCGGGCTTTAACCGGGCAATTCCAAAAGGCAAGCATCACGCTCATGCAGAGAGGCACTGCTACCTTCACCTGCACAACCTTGGACTGGACTGGGGTGATGAGGGACCGAAGGCAGGACAGACATGCAGACACAAGTACAGAAAAGACTGGATTGGGTGGAGCTTGCGCTCCAATGGAGACACACCAGTAGCCCTGACATGACAGGAAGACAACAAATTTACGAGGCTCAGAGGTCTCGGTGACAGCAATCTGTCATATAATTCTGTCTACCTTGATAATCTTTCAAAAGTGAATACAGGATTTTTTTTCACTCCAATTTTAATTACTAATGCTGACTCATATCACACATCACTTATATGTCCATACTTATATGCATGTGTGCACATACATCATTTATACAGCTTTTAGACAAGTTAAAGAGTCTGCAGCAGTACTCCGAGATTTCAGAAATGGGTTGAGCGAATCTGTATTGAGAAGATAACAATCCAAATCAGTGCGGAGAGAAGAGCTTCTGCTGGGGTCAGGGTCTGAGAGCAAAACTGTTTCAGCTGCTCAGGAAAAGGCGGAACCATGTCTGCAGCAAAAAAAAAAAAACCCAGTGAGTTGGGTCCAGACCAGTGAACAGAGGGACAGGTAGGCATGAGCAAGTTGCATCAACAGCAGAAGACCAAGCTGACAATCCAAGAGTCTCTGCTTGTCAGCTTCGACACCAGTCTTTGACCCAGCTACGAGATGATAGGTTGGCTTGGGGCTATGCCATCACAGAGTTAGGTACCCATCCTTCTGTGTGGACCACGTGAGGCAGTTACACCCTCTCCTTGGTCTGCTGTGTCTGACAAGTTCCTCCACCTAGCTTCTCTGGTATGAGTTAAATACACTCACTCATGAGCTCCCATGCTCTCAATTCAACCTGATAAACTTACAGGGTGGCTCCCTTCTGACTCCCAGGCTTAAGTCATTGATCAGTCAGTGCTTCCTGACTGAGTCCTTCCTGACACACGATACAGTTTCTGGGTCCACCCAGGAGCCATCTTTCCCCCTCAACATCCATTCAAAAGCTGCTTGAAAATGGAGTCTCCTGTGGCAAGGCACGGCCTGAAAACTCACTGTGTTGTGCATACCCTGATCTCCACAGTCATTGCTGGCAATAAGTCAGGGCTCCGTGTCTTATTTTCTCAGACTTCTGTATAACTAGTATTGACACTGAAGGGCTAAAGAGTAGAAAGCCAAATGACCTGGAAGAGGTGGGAAGAGCAATGGGAGTCAGTCCAGGCTCAACCGGTCACCTCCATAGCATTTCTGACAGTCAGTCTGTGTTTTCATGAGAGTAAGTGTTCTTCTAACGGTTAGAATCTAACCTGTGGCATGGAGTTGGGGGTAGTTGTTACATGAAATTGAGGAGGTTGCCTTACCAGACAGCTTCTTCGAGCCTTTGCTCTGTGCATCTCCATGGCAGATGACAGAATGCACCTTCTGCCAACCACGTGATGAAGGCAGGCTTTGGTTTTCAAGGGATGTCTCAAAAGACTAAAGCACTAACGCATGTCTCTTGGAAACACATGGGGAAAGCTGAGAAGAGCCACTGCACACTCCACCTCCATGCACAATGGTTGACCCTCATCACCTCCCTTCCCTGCACAGGCACACCTGGCCTTTGTGTTGTAGGGTTGTCTTAGCTCTACCACATGGGGAGACTCCTCGAGGCAGGGCCTCTTCTGACTTACCTTAATAATCTTCATATTAACAAGCAGAACTTCTTGCATTCAGCAGACACCCATGTGTTGGATGAGCAAATAAATGCTCACATCTAATCCATCTCCATATGAAAGCAACAGAAACTGATCCCTTCCCTTTACCTCTCCCCACCCCCAAAATGAAAGAAAATCAATACAACTAAAACTGAGAACATTCTTGTTGGGTTGTTTTGATGGTGGTGTGGAGAAAACCAGACGAAGCCTGGCTCTCCCTTGAGAATCAGTTTGTTGATAGAAAAAAGGATGGAGAAAGAGGGAAAAGAAGTCTCAAGATAGGTCAGCTTTTATGACAGAAGGGAACATCCATTTCACAAGCTATCAAAACAAACAAGAAAGAAAAGCAAATGTGGAGATGCCAGAACTTATGTGCACTCATGACAGGGACGTAAAACAATGCAATCAAAAGAGAAATCAGAGTAGTATAAAAAAACAAAATGATGATTTCTAAAAATTAACAACAGAATTATGACACGATCCAGCAAATCCACTTCCCCACCTGTATCCCAAAGAACTAAAAGCAGAAGATTGAAGACGCGTTTGCATACCCATGTTCATAACATCATTCTTAATAGCCAACAGATGGAGGCTACCCAGGGACCTGTTAAAGGCTGGCTGGCTAGCTGGCTGGCTGGAGAAAGCGTGGTCTACACAGTCAATGAAACTTTAGTCAGCCTGGGAAAGGAAGGAAATGGGAACATAAGCTGCAGCAGAGGTGAACCTTGAGGACAAGATACAACATAAAATAAACCAGTCTCAAAGAGAAACAGCATGCACGATTCTATTTATTGAAGGTCCTAGAGTGGTCAGCTCGAAGTCAGACAACAGAGTGTGATTTCCACTATGTTCCAGGAGCAGAGAAAAAAGTAGCATTGTTGTTTCATGGGAATATAATTTAAGTCCCTCAAAAGGAAAAGTGTTTGGATGTTAGTTATGTAACACGGCTGAACTGTGCATTTAAAACAGATAGATGCTAAATTTTATGCTATGTATATTTTATCACAAATTCAAAAAAGAGGAATGTTAAAGATGTACTAGCTAGAGCCCAGCATCTTCTCTCTCTCTCTCTCTCTCTCTCTCTCTCTCTCTCTCTCTCTCTCTCTCCATGCATTATAGTGCGTGTGTAGAGACAGATGACAACTTGCAGAAGTGAATTCCCCCCTTCTACCCTGTGGGTGCTGAGGACAGATCTCAGGTCATCAGACTTGGCAGTAAGCAGTTTTATCCAGGAGCCCAGCATCTGACGTGAGGAGAAACGGAGGCTTAGGGATGCACTACACAGAGTGTCAATCCTCAGGGGTTCAAATGTTTATCAAGGCTGGAAGTCCAAAGAGTCATTTATTAGTGACATCATGAATTTTTTCTATGAAATGTTAACTGCTCATTAGATTCTCCCACTTGGAAATAAAATGGGACTATGAAATTGGAAGGGCCAAGGAGCAGTTGGGAGGTCAGCCCTGAGCTCCCTGGCCACACTTCCCTCTTACACCAATTGTTGCTGTCCAGGGACTTGCTCTGCAGCTGGTGCCCAGGGTTTCTGGTAGGAGAGAACCCCATAAATGTCCAGTCCTGAATGCATCAGTCTATACCAGGCCTACAACAGGATGATGCTCACAGCAGAGAAACTTCAATTTCCGTTGCTTGCCTGTTCGCTGGATCATTTCCCAGCAATCTTGGTGAGAGCTGAAATAAAAACCATGACTTTTATCCAAATCTAGGATAAATCAGCAGCAGCTGCTGACTTCCCTGGCCAAGGCGCAAAGCTGCAGTCATGAAACGTGAGGAGGAACAAAGGCCAGGAGGCCAGAATGGCGAATGGCTGTCTATGAAATATCACATTACCTGTCCATGGAGTCCCCTGTGTGCTGAGTGGGTGGAGCCTCCACCGTGGGCAGGAAGCACAGGGTTGCTGGGGGGATTTCAGCAGCTAAGCTCTGGGCTGAGCGGGGCGGGGTGGGTGGGGGCACTGCTGCTCAGTGGTTCTCTCCGAGTTCTCCTGAGGTCAAGGGGATTTGCCTGTGGGCAGGAATGTCTGCTGAGAACAAACCACAGTAGGATGTGGAGTTCCCACTGTGCTCTAGAAAAAACGGGAGGCTGGGCCAGCTCTGCCTGAGTTATCAGGCGAAGACCATGCCTATCTCTGTCTGCTGGCTCTGCCCTCCTGCCTTCTGGAGGATTGGCTGATAAAAGTTTTGGGCTGAAGGAAGGAACATGTTTGTGTGTGTGTGTG